TGGTTCTTTCTTAGGATGTCTGTCTTTCTGCAAACATTGCCTGTTTTGTCTTACATTCTGTTAACTTTATCCATTAGCACACTTAGCACATTCACCATAGTTATTTAAAATTCTCAGTCTGAGGGGCGCCTAGGTGGCTCAGTCGGTTAAGCGTCCGACTTCGGCTCAAGTCATGATCTTGTGCTTTGTGAGTTCAAGCCCTGCGGCGGGCTCTGTGCTGACAGCTCAGAGCCTGGAGCCTACTCAGGATTCTGTGTCTCCTTCTCTCTCTGTCCCTCCCCCACTTGCGATCTGTTTCTGTCTCTTAAAAATAAATAAACATTAAAAAAAATTTTTAGGGGTGGGGCGCCTGGGTGGCGCAGTCGGTTAAGCGTCCGACTTCAGCCAGGTCACGATCTTGCAGTCTGTGAGTTCGAGCCCCACGTCGGGCTCTGTGCTGACCGCTCAGAGCCTGGAGCCTGTTTCCGATTCTGTGTCTCCCTCTCTCTCTGCCCCTCCCCCGTTCATGCTCTGTCTCTCTCTGTCCCAAAATAAATAAATAAACGTTGAAAAAAAATTTTTTTTTAATTCTCAGTCTGATAATTCCAACATCCCTGCCATGTCTGGTTCGGATACTTGTTCTGCCTCTTCTCACCTTCTGATATGCCTTATAATTTTTTCTAGGTAGCAGGTATGCATGGTGTCTGGGTAAGAGGAACGGATATAAACAGGCCTTTAGCAATGTGGCGGGGTGGCGGGGAAAGGGAGGTATCCCGCAGTTCGGGGACAGGTGTCAATCTTCCAGGGAGGCTGTGCCTCTGGACTGTGAACTACACAAGTGTTTCCCAGCTTTTCTCTCCCCTTAGGTGGATCAGGCTGGTGTGAACAAGCCAGAGCTGGGTATTCCCTTCCCCAGGTCAGACAGGCTCTGATAAGACCCCAGCAGGTGAGGCTCTGGTTAACCAGTCTTCCCAGCCTAAAGCCGCAGGGCATTTTCTCTGGTATTTAAGGTGGGAACCCGGTGGAGGTAAATCTCACTATGTTGTCCACAATCAGCCTACAACAATTGCTCAATTACATCTCGGGTTTTCCCAACCCCGAGGAGGGGACATTAACGTCTCTGCTTACAGCCGGCGACAAGGAGACCCAGGGGAGGATTGTGGAAGAACATTCTCTGTTCCATGTAGTGTACCTATTTCTCAACGCTGTGTAATTTTCTTTTAATAACCTTTCCCCTCATTCTTAAAGGAATAGTCATCGTAGAAAACTTTGGAAAAATCAGAAAAGTCTGTTTTTTAATTGCTATATATATAATACCCCCTTTTTTTAACCCAGAGAGCATTACTGCTAATATTCCTATATATTTTATTTTTGATTAGACAGATAGATGGTGGTCAGTTCATAGAATAGAATTGATATTGTAGATTACATTTTCATATTCTACTTCTTCCAATTAAAGTGCCATTATGATTGTCTCTTATACACATCACATTCAGTGGCTTCTTAATTGTACATTGTTAGGATTTTCTACAATTTTGTTAACTGTCCCTTGTTTGGGAACTTTAGGTTTGGTAATTTGGGGGCATAAATATTTGATAACATTTGATGATTTCCTTTGTGTAGTATTCAAAAAAATGGGATTTTTTTTTTTTTAATCTTTGGCATTTGAGAGAGGGTCAATCTGCTTTTTTTTAAGTTTGTTTGTTTGTTTGTTTAGAGAGAGAGAGAGAGAGAGCGCATGTGCATACAGGGGAGGGGTAGAGAGAGAACCCCAAGCAAGCTCCGTGTTGCATGCTGTGAGCTTGGAGCCTGACAGGGGGCTGGAACTCATGAATTGTGAGATCATGACCTGAGCTGAAACCAAGAGTCAGACACTTAACTGACTGAGCCACCCAGGCGCCCCCCAAAAAATGGGATTTCTGAGTCAAAGGGCATGAGCATTTGAAAGGAACTTGATAAACACTGCCAATTTATTTCCAGGGAATTTGTACCCGTGTCCCTTGCACATCCTAGTGTTGTTTTCCATGATATTACAACTGCCCAACGTATTGGTGGACAGTTCTTCGTGGAGTAAAAGGCGGTTGTCCTGCTGTGGAGGGGACATGGAGAGGACATTCCTATCATTTTTGTTATGACACAAGGAGGTTGATAAGCCCACAGTGGCAGCACCCTCCTCTTTTACTCAAATGCTTTGGTTATTTTTTTCCCCCACTGCTTCTGTAGAAGGCTAGTGAGCACAAGAACCAAGAGGTCAGAGAGAAGAAAGCATTGGCAGAAATCAGTTACCTGTTGGTTTTTTTCCTAAATAAACCCATTCATAACAAGGAGATGGGAACGGAGGAGATGAAGTGAACCAAAATGATTGTTAGTGGCTCAAATTTCCCCTCAACAGATCACGTGACAAATGCTGCAAGCGGCAGACATTTAACATCAACAGAACCATTATTTCATGGACCAGGAAACCGGGTGATGCTGGAGGAAATGCTGGCCAAATCAGTGCTTAGATTGATCCCGACGCCACTTCTAGAAAAAAAAATCAGTGTTTGCAGGACCCACAGCTGTCCTCAAGGGACCTGGGAAAACCTCTCTGGCAAACCCTCTTTCCTAATCCCTCTGTTTCACGAAGCATTTACTATGAAAGAGTTTAGCTACTTTAAGAAGGTACAACCACAACCCAGCTTATTACCTAAAACATAATGAACAGAGTGAGACTTTTGCTCATTACATTCTCCTCTTTCCACCTTTGCACCCCTACACACAGAAATAGCAATGATTCCTGATTTAGTGTTTATCATTCCCATGCATTTCCTTAAACTTTACTACACAGGCATGTATCCCTAAGCAAAATATAGCCTCCCTTCTCACATTGCTTTGAACTTTTATAAGGATACTGAATGCTTCTTGCTGCAATTTGCTTTTGTTCCACACACTGTCCATGAAACTTACTCATGTTGAACAGGAGTTCGGGTTCATTCATTTTTGCTGTTTAATACTCCTTCGTATGTAAATGCCACTTATTCATCCGATCTCTAATGGTGAAGATTTAGGCGGTTTCTGGTTTTCCATTATTAAAAACGACGTTGCCGCATATAATCTTGTACACAATCTTGGGCATCTTCCTCTGGCTTTCTCGATAGCTGTGGCCAAAAGGTCTGCACAGCATTCACTTTTGTAGATATTGTTCATTTGCTCTTCAAGACAGCCGTGTCTTCAAGCGCCCGTTGTCTACAATCTTATCAGTTCAGTAGTACCGGTTTAAAGTCTTGTTATTCTGATAGACTGTAACTCGCATGTCCTCAATTACTACTTTTAGCATTTTCGGTTGTGTTTATTGGCTATTGGTGCAGCCTCTGTGAAGCCCTGCATGTTCATATTGTTTGCTTATTTTGCTTTTTAGGTTGTTCACCTCATTTTTGAATGGACAAATTTGAACAGAATGAGTATCACGATCAACCCTGAAAGAGGGAGAGCCATGACCCAGGGGCAGCATTGGGAGAAGTGGCCGATGCATCTGGGTGGTGGTGATAGGCCATTGTTTAGCCATCAGCAGATGGAACCACAACAACTACCCCCCCCCCCACCTCTGGCCTTCTCCCCTGGGTGAGGAGCCCAGGCAAATCTCCCAGATTGCTGTACTTTAGGAATGACTCTGGAGAACCAAATCAGTCTAGCTCCTCTGACGAACTGGTTCAGCGCTCTTTACTACAGGCATCAAAATTCAGCTCTTAGCTAATTTAAATTGAAATGGAATTTATTGAAAGAGTGCTGTCAATGCTGAAAGAGTCAGAGAACCAGGCTTGGACAAGGGTTTCGGAAGCAGGGAGGCTATCCTGAAGCATTCCACAGAACTGGGCTGACGGGGACACCTTCCCCAACCCAGACACTGGACAGCACCACTGACTCTGACACTGGAAACCATGGTGGTGACTTGTGACTTGTCCAAAGACATTTCACTGTTGTAGTGAGAACAAAAGGCCAACCTGAGTGCGTTCTGGAGAAAATGGAAGGAAAGGTGGTCGAAATAGCCCCATATAGAGAAGTTCCTGTAAAGGAAGGCAGAGTAATGAGGATATAGCTACAGGGCATGTGGGGTCCATGGTTTTTTGTTTTTTTGTTTTTAAAGATGGGGAATATGACAGCAAATCGGTGTGCTCACAGGAGGGACCCAGGGCCAAAAAGAGAGCAAATAGTCATAGGAGCAGTTTTGAATAGTGGGAGGGGAGGGGATACTTTGTATTGGGAGGAAGGACAGAATCCAGAGAAGATGAAGTAAATGGGACAGAAGTAGGGAGACGAGAGACGGAGGGATGTGGTACCTTAGGAGTTCTTTGCTGAAGTCTTCCATTTTTTGGGTGAAATGAGATCAATTGTCATTAATTAAGAGGGGGGCAGGGTGTTGAAGGTTTGGGAACAGGAGAGAAACAGATACAGCAATCAAATTTCAAAGGTTTTTGTTTTTATTCCTGATATTTTTATATCCCACGATAAAAATCAAATGAAAAAAAAAATCTCTTAAAATGTTCACAAATGGGGCGCCTGGGTTGCTCAGTTGGTTAAGCATCTGACTTCGGCTCAGGTCACGATCTTGCAGTGCGTGAGTTCGAGCCCCGCGTCAGGCTCTGTGCTGACAGCTCAGAGCCCGGAGCCGGCTTTGGATTCTGTGTCTCCCTCTCTCTCTGCCCCTCCCCTGCTCACACTCGCTCTCTCAAAAATGAACAAACATTAAAAAATATTTTTAAATGTTCACAAATGAACAAAAGGGGGTAATGTTAATTACGTATATCGTTTTCTCTTTGGAATCGACTGCTAACCCCTAAGAACAGCTTCTCTATTAAACACCGTCAAACTTTGCAGAATTTCTACAAACCGCAATCTGTTTGCCTTTCTCCAGAAACAAAAGTGACAGAACAGTTAATATCTGCTTGTCCTAAGCTTAAAGTCCAAATTGTAATATTTATTCTGACTAACCTTCAGAGAATGACAAAGGAATCTTTCAGCGCAAAGGGAAAAATTTAACCAATGACAACAGTCTGTGACAACAGGCTACATTTAAGAGAAAAAGAGATGAATCCAGAAACAGCTGGTTTTGCTCTTCTGGAACTAGAAATGGTCTTTTTATCCTAGTAGAATCAGAATAACCTTCCGTGGATGTGGAAACAGCACCAGTGTGACTCTGCCTACCACAGAACCCAGGATGCCAAGCACCGTGGGTGTTTCAAAACTGTTTTGAAACTTACCACCCACACTAGGCCACCTCCCTGCGCCCAGTCAATTTCAACAGAGGCCTGGTGGTGCAATGTTGATATTCCCCTGGCAGAAACTCCTTTCCAGAAGCTATAGGATGGGGCAGGCTTCTTAGGCGCAGATTCCCCACACCGTGATTTGATAGCGCGTGGCACACTTGTAAATAAATACATTCCATTCGAAAATTTACTTTCAGCACAGCATTTTGCCAGGCCATACGTTTTCTCACGGGCTCCTCCCCCTCACATCATGCCTCTGATACTGCTTGCTACAAACGCCCATGGAAGTGTGGATTTGGCGGACCGGTGCTTTGTTCTGTTTCATTTAAAATGATCATTGGACCGTTTCCACCCCCAGCCTGATTTCTTTCAGGGCTGATCAGATGTCTGTAGAGATCTGCGCCTGTGGACTCATGTTAATCTGTTAATTGAGTTAGACCTTCACTTGGCTCTATCCTGTGTCTCACAGTGAAACGCTGGCTGCAGTGAGGTTTGTGCTGGTTGAAAACATGAGAGCTGATGAATTACAGCTAGAATGTGACATTGACCACAGTTAGTCATCAAAGGGGGAGGCACTGCTCACTCTCAGACCTGCAGAGCTCGCAGAACAGGCCCCCGGGGGCTTGGGAGCATTGGTGACCTGCAGCCAGCGCCCCCTTCTTCTGGAAGCCTTGACACACAGCACGTAACGCGGGGCTGAGGGGCATGACTCAGCACCCTGGCTCCACTCCTGGGAGGCTCTCTCCATCCCCCAGGACTGCAGTTTCAATGCTATCCTCTGTGACTCAGCTGTCACCACCTCTTTGGGCAAGTTCCACTGCAGGTTTTGTGGGCCAGCGCTCTTGACCGAGATGCAAAGGCCTTATCAGCCAAGCAGATGGCTGGACCAGCTGCCACTTCCCAGGGAGACCAGGAGTTTCCCCCTGGGTCAGCAGGGAGGGGTTTCCTGCGAGGATCCCACGTGCCAAGTCCTCGGGGATGCAAGACATTCTGAGGATGTGACTTACACGGGGAAGCTCACCAGGACTTCTCCGATTCGATATAAATAACTCTGCACTGGCAGATGGGGCGCGAGCCAAGTAGTAATGAATACTAGGACAAACAAACAGGCCTCCGGGATGCCGGCCCAGCCGCTCCAAACCACAGTTGGCAACAGGTTTGGAGGTGGCAGTGGGCGAAAATCGTACCAGCAACACTGCAGTAATCCTCGGGAGCGAACGCAGGGAAGCTCTCTCCAGAACGTGAGTGTGGATCATTAGGAACGGCCTTACTGCACGGAACTAGAGCATGCGCTTAAAGGGGGGTAGCTGTGAAGCATGTTAATTTGCCTGATTGGGTGCTTACCTATTAACCGGCAAATCGGGACTTACAGAGGGGACACTGTTTCCCAGGTGCCCTGCTTGAGAGACAGCAAGAGTCATGAGACCGCTCCGGCCCGCCTTTGGCAAACAAGAGTCTATAATTATGCAGACGTGCATGGGAGCAGAAGGAAATCCTGGATTGCGTCTAGCAGTATCGTATGCTGCACAACGAATCCTGTGTAAAACAGGCTCTTTATGGCATTGTTGGGATCCTGTTAAGTGACGGGGGGAGGGGAAGTGAGAGGGATCTAGAGTAGGAGGAACATTGGGGAACAAGGGAATGCGGGAGGCGGGATTGCCTTGAGCTCCAAGGCCAGGGGTGGCGCGGTAATGATGGTAATGACGCAATGACGAGGGTAGGAACAGGCCAGCAGCCAAAGGTGATGGGGAGGAAAAATGGAGACTCCTGCATTTACACTCAGACGGGGTCCCCGCCCTCAGTAGAAGCAGACTCACATCCTCTCAGGATCAAAGCAGCCCCATCTTAGGCCCTCAGGATTTCCCCCACATTAGGATCAACCAATCAAAGATCCTGAAACCTACAAGCAAACAGGCCACCATGAGTGAGAATCAGTAGAAATTATGCGTCACGGAATACAACCTCCTTCCTTTAGGTAATGAATGAAATGAGCAGATGCAAAAATATATAAAGTGACAATGTGTCCAGTATGTAAAGACTGAAAGAAAGAAAAATCATAAAGATAGGCAAGCTATAAGAAACTATAAAAAAAAAAAATGACCGGGGCACCTGGGTGGCTCAGTCGGTTAAGCGTCCAACCTTGGCTCAGGTCATGATCTCACAGTCCGTGAGTTCGAGCCCCGCGTCAGGCTCTGTGCTGACAGCTCAGAGCCTGGAGCCCGTTTCAGATTCTGTATCTCCCTCTCTCTCTGCCCCTCCCCTGTTCATGCTCTGTCTCTCTCTGTCTCAAAAATAAATAAACGTTAAAAAAAAAAAATTAAAAAAAAAAAAATGACCAGGAGGATTTGGGGGGGAGAAATTTTTTTTTAAGTCAATGTGAAAAAATGAAAAATAGAAATGTGAAAGTTAAAAAAAATGCACCGTGTTGAGTGGGTGAAACAGCAAATTAAAATATAGCTGAGGAGGTCACTTCATTCCTTGAACAAATACATATTTAATATCTGCCACAAGTCAGCTACCATTGGAGGCAGCGGACAAAACAGACGAAAGTCGCTGTGCACACATAGGTTACAGAATAGATTATAGCAAGTCAGTAAAATACAGAGCATGATATTTTGAGAACATAACTCAGGGAAGGAGAATAGAGAATACTGGGTGTGAGCAGAGCCGTATTTTAGATAGGAAGGACAGAAAAACACCTCGCCGAGACATGTGGGTAAAGATTTGAAAAGGAGGAAGGAGCAGCCCATGAGAATATTGAAGGGGAAGACCACTGCGGACAAAGAGAACAGCAAATACGGCGGCTCAGAGGTAGGGTGCACCGGCTGTATTTGACTTCCTTAGCAGAGGTCAGTGTGGGTGGAAAAGTGGAGGGCTGGGGGGGGGGGGGGCCGTCTAAGAGGTAACGGGAGGCAGTTCCTGGGAAGTTTGCAGAATAAGAGTGCATATACCAGGCAGCAATCACACTTCAAAGGCCCATATGAAGTTAATGGTTATGAATTTATATTTGAATTTAGCTGTAAAATGTGGCTTGAGAGAAATCCCTAAAGCTCCTTCCATGCTGGCTTATCGGACGGGTCTTCTCTCGTGTCCGGAGTCTGTTCCTCCCTTTGGTCCACCTTTGATCTTTTCCCTGATCCCTTCCGCCAGATTTATTTGTACCCCCATCCTTGTTCCTACCTCACTCTGCCCTACATAGAACTGACATTGCATCATGGTAACTGTTTTCTGCCTTCAACCGGGAACCCCTCAAGCACAACGAGGAGCCATCATCATTGAAGGCAATGCTCAGTAAATTGAACTGCACTCTATACAATCCCACCAGATTATTGTAGGAAAGGGCTAAACGGCAACCGTGCAAGAAGATTCTTTCGGTGCTGTTGCCAGATTTGGTTTGTCTTTAATTTAAGCACCCTGCTGAATGTGCAATCGATATTTCAGTAATTATGTACAAATAGTTCTCATTATAAATCAAAGTTGTTATTACTGCCTTAAGCTTTGGCCTTGGTCTCTCTTCTGGGAGACCGGGCTGTTTTCCCGGAGTCGAAGGCCTCAGCTGGCTCCCATGCCGTTCCCCTACAAAGCTGCACGCCGGGGTTAGCTGGTTAAGGGGGACAGAAACCAGTCTCCGGACACAGCTGGAGTAAATCTTAAGCACCAGACTCACCAGCGAGAGGAGCGGGCCTCTGCTCCTAAATGCAGGATTGTGGCTAGAAGGCCACCATGACCCCTAAGAGCACAAAACTCTCTAGGGAATTATTGAGACCTAAGGTCACTCGACCTGAAGAAAGCTCTGGAACACGAACTGCAAGGCAGAGTTGTCCCATGTTGATGTCCTCCTGTCATTGGCCCCTAGGGGCTGGTCAGTCACAGGGTGCTTCCTGCATGGGGCAGGGTGCTTGCGGGCAGAGGGGATCCCCCCCCAAGCAAGGCAGGCTCCGTGTGCCAGGCCAGCTCTCCAGAGAAACAGCTCCAGGCAGTTGGGGGACAGGTGCGCTGGCCAGGGAAGGGGCACCTAGAGTAGCACCCAGGCCAATCAGCGCACACTCCCTGGAGATTCAAACTAGAACCAGATGGCTTAGCCAACAAAGATGAAGGGAAGCACAAACTCTGTACACTTTTTCTTCTTTCCCCGCAAGGAACTAGGCTTAGTTGCAAACCAAAAGGGTTCTTCAGGGAGTGGTGTCCTTAAGATGAGGAAATCCACAGGTAGCCCAACCTTTTCATGAAAGTTCTTGTCCCGTCACTAGCAAATGGCTCAGCTGTATCTGAACCTGTTCGAAGCACGAGAATACATAGTGTTCTATCTCGCCAGGGGGTCCTACCTCTGAATTCTCTGGCACCTCCCTCCAGAGTCTCCACAGCCCCCACCCCGCACTGGGTCAGGACAGAGCTCTACTGTTTAGCCCCAAGTCACCATAACCGCCCGCATTTCTGGCCATGGCAATTTCAACTCCCTAAATGTGCCCCGGGTGGGAAGAGAATCCAGATGTAACCGTGACCAAGAGTAGGAAACCTTACCTCAGAGGCCAGGGCCCCAGATGATGACCCATTCCTTAATTTCTCAGTCAGAGAGAGCCGTCCTCTGAATCGACGGCAGAGTCAACACCAGCCACGCACATAGGCTTTGACTTCTTACGATCAAAAGGAAAAAGGTTCCCATCTCTCCATTTTATCACAACATTGAATCTGCCATTATTGTCCATGGAGCCTTTGTTTCGAGCCCAGCACAGATATTATAAGAGGGCTCACTAAGTACTCTTTTTAAAAGACCATTCAGTGTGTCCAAACCTCTGCTGTGTACCTCCCTTCTTGTTCGAAGCGACATTCACGCACCTCTCTGGGTCCTTGCGCGCTGGACCCGTGGAGAACCCACCTGACTTGTTTCCCCCCACGCCCACACCTGGTTCTCACATGGGTCCCCTCAAGACACCTGCATATTCTATTCCCTTCTTGCCTTTGGTTCAAAATAAATTACAAACCCTAAAGATTCTAAGAAGAGATGAAAACAAAAACCCAATTTATCCAGAGAACTAGTCATTTACCCCCTGGAGGTATGATTAGCTCACGTCTTACGCTGAACCAGGGTGAATTAAAACAACAACATCCAAAACCCAAAAAACAAACCAAAAAAACACGTGTTAAATATATAGTTAAGCCTTAGACCTCTAACAGATGACTAATGGGTGTTATGCTGTGTTTTGTTTCTTGTTAAATTCCCAGAGATAATTATTTACTCAATAAAGTTTAAACAGTTACCGTAGTAGTAGTTTTCTCTCCCCGCCCCTTCCCAGCTGCAGTTGATGCAGTCAACATAGTAGACAACACGATTATTAGTCTGCGTCTACAACTTTGTGACAATTTATGGGGAGGAAATCCACAGGCCTCATCTTCTCTAACAGCCCTCCTGAAGGTGCCCCTTGTCAATTGTTCCCTGACCTGAGCTGTCGCCCTCTTATTTCTAACGGATTCATTTTCCCCACTCCTCAGGAAGGGGGGCTGTTTTGCAAGCTTGCTAGCTGGGAAGGGGAGACCAGCGAGCTACAAGTTCTCCGCTTTTTCATTTGCAAGCTTTTCAGGGCTGGGAGGAGTCTGAGCCATCCAAGAGGACCACTGGGCATCTGAGGGTAACCTGAGTGCTAAATGGGTTTCAAGATTAGGAAATATTAGGAAGAGATGGGACCTGGGTGATCACAGAGGACTCCCTGCCCATCCTGCCGGTGAGCTAACTAGAGCCCCAGGGAGGGATGACTTTGCAGCTGAGAGCTACTTAGGAATTAATAGTTTGTAGAAGATCTGGGTATAGGTCAAGAGCAGGTCAGGATCGCTCCGCCCATACACCCCAGAGGCTACTGACCCCTCTTCCCCACCCCGCTGTATGGCAGTTTTCCTGGGCCTCTTCAGACTTTTAAAAGGTACCATCCTTCTGCATCACTGAATTTCTACAGCATCCTGGGAAACGTGATGCCCGGGACGGGGTGTGGGGGTGGGGAGGAACTAACCTCTATTTGGAATACATCCCCCCAGATCACTCTAATTTATCAAAATACGGTTCAGGAGTGGTGAAAACAAAGCATAGGTTTGGTGCACATCTACAGAATACAAAATGGCCCTTCCTAGAACCCGTCTGAAGGCAGTAATGTTTCAGCCCTGTTCTGTGCTTCTGGGTAGCTCCTTCTGTTACGGGGCTAGGCAGGGGAGGCTACCAGGAAGGAGATGTGAGCAGTCCCAAGGTTTCTATCTATCTGGGCCAGCCAGCCCTTTGTGCGGCATGAAATAGCCGCTGCCTTTCTTGGAAACCCACAGCCAAAGGTCTCACTGCCTTTTCTCCTGGCGCACAAAGGCCTTCCTCTAGCTGCATGTTATTGCTACAGACGTCCAATGGCTACCACGCCAGTCTGCAGAACTTCCCTGGCCCAGCAGTGCCTCTGAGTCATCCTTAGCGAGATAAGAGGAGTAAAGAGGCAGATGAGCAGGGCACAAGTGAGCTTTGTCCCGGGGAAGAAGGTAGAGGGAAAGGGCAACACACGGAAGGCCCAAGGGATGCAAAGACACTGCTGGCAGATGCTCTGTCCTCCTTTTCATTTGCTTCTGTTGATCCCTCCCTTCCTCAAGTTTTCAGGGGTCAGCCCCCGCCAGCTGGGAGCCCGAGCTTAGAATCGAGCGGTTCTCGGGGGAGCCTGGGGGGCTCAGTCGGTTAAGCGTCCGACCTCAGCTCAGGTCATGATCTCACGGTTCGTGGGTTCGAGCCCCGCGTCGGGCTCTGTGCTGACAGCTCAGAGCCTGGAGCCTGCTTCGGATTCTCTATCTTCCTCTCTCTCTCTGCCCCTCCCCCCACTCATGCTCTGTCTCTCTCTGCCTCTCAAAAATAAAGAAATGTAATAAAAAAAAAAAAAGAAGAGCTGCATCTAGGAGCTCTCAAAAAACAGTGAATTGAAAAACATCAAACAAGAGAAAGAGAAATACTTTCGTATTCTCTTCTGAGCAGCTGATTGTTAAAGCCGTTTTCTCAGGCAGGGCGGCCTGATGGACGGTATCTTCACAACCAGGGATCACGCGAGGAGGTCAGGTGTCTGGTGATAGAACCCGTTACAGACCTGTCCGGCCGAGGTCCCCACCCCCGCTCTTCCCACAGTCTACAACCATCGCTCACAGAGGGTCTCACGTTTTGCATTTTTAAGACCCTGTTTCTGACACCCAGTAGCCCACAGGGTTACCTCCGTTTGCTGGGCCGCTGAGCCCACGGGGCCGCTGTGGCCTCTCGGCTCTCGCACAACCACTGACCTCCTGCCAGCCACGAAGCCCATCGCTGCTTTGTGGGCAAGACTGTGCCTCAGGTTCCCCATCTGCGCTACAGGGAGATTTACACCCAGGAAGGTGTGATATCTTGGCTGGTGTTTCCTTTCTCCTCAGAGCAGAGCCTGAGTAAAGAATTGGGAGCCGGGAGCGTGGGTGGCTCCATCGGTTAAGCAGCTGACTTTGCCTCGGGTCACCGTCACGCAATTCCTGAGTTCGAGCCCCACGTCGGGCTCTGTGCTGACAGCTCAGAGCCTGGAGCCTGCTTCAGATTCTGTGCCTCCCCCGCCCCTCCCCTGCTTGCTCTCGCTCTCAAAAATAAATAAACATTAAAAAATGTTTTTAAAGAATTGGGAGATTTATCATTTGGAAGGTGTATTCGTTTCCTAGGGCTGCCGTAACAAATTACCACAAACTGGCACCTTAAAATAACAGAAATGGCGGGGGCAGCCGGGTGGCTCAGTCAGTTAAGCGTCCGACTTTGGCTCAGGGTGTGATCTCACAGTTTGTGAGTTCGAGCCCCGCATCAGGCTCGCTGCTCTCAGCACAGAGCCTGCCTCAGATCCCCTGTCTCTGTCTCCCTAAATAAATAAATAAACATTTTTTAAAAAGAAGTAACAGAAATGCATTTTCTCACAGTTTTAGAGTCCAGAAGTCCAAATCAAGCCGCTGGCAGGTCCACACTCCCTCTGAAGGTTCTAGGGGAGAATCCTTCCGTGCCTGTGCCTGGCTGCTGGTAGTTGCTCACTATCCGTGCCTTTTCCCGGCTTGTAACGCATTACTGCAATCGCCTTCTGTAGTCACATGGTCTTCTTCTGCGTGTCTCTCTTTTAAGGACATGCTCGTTGGATTCAGGGTCCACCCGAATCCTGTATGTTCTCACCTCAACCCTACCCTTCACGACATCCTGAAGTTCCGAGTGGACGTGAAATTTGGGGGAAACGTTATTCAACCCAGCACAGGGGTTGAGGCTCCTTATAACGTTCCTAGTCCTGGAAGTCACTAATGTTGACAGTGGGGGAGTGGATGCCATGCAAGGAGATAAAGAACACAGCTGGTGCTCAACATACCTCCCTCACCACCGTATTCCTACGGCTGAGTTTCCCGACAAACAATTTCCAAGCAATTTGACTCACTCTTCAAGACTCAATCCTCTGAGACATGGCAGATATCTCTGAAGGATAATTTCTCAAGCTCCAATTCTTAGGGGGGTGGGGAACATTAGAATCATCTGGCTGGTGGGTGGGGGGTGGGGTCTTTTACAAAGAACACCTGTTCCAGGAAGTCTGCAAGGGGTGGGTGGGAAGGTGTGCCTTGCAAAGGAATCATTTACGTTGTAAACCGCTGTCACTCTACAAACGTTTTACATGTCTCAGGTGTGGAACTTCTGTTTCGAACCATGGTTACCCAGCGCCTGGCCATCGGCTGCACTAAGCACTTTGTCTGGGGGCTGGGGAAAGGGGTGGGGGGAGGGGTAGAAAAGAGAAAACATACCAAGCAGCAGCCCACTGGAAGGGCAGACCACCCAAATTTCACTCTTTTTACGTTTTCTAGAATAATAAGCCTCAGATGTGTAACAGGACAGCAAATCCCAGGTTGGCGCACCGTTCGAAATCATGTGTCAATTATGTACCTAAGCAGCGGGCTGTGTTAGGAAGGATTCTGAGGCCGCATCTGTGCTAAGTGGGAAGAGAGCCATGATGGGGGGGGGGGGACCATCTACCACAAAGGTCCCCAGGGACTACGAGGGCACATGTCACACATTTGTCATCCCTGGTCTATAGCTTTCGGGGGGACCGTTTCCTAAATATGTTGTTGCCGGATAGAGGTAAGAGATTTTTATGTCCTGATAGAAAAACATATGAAGGCATAAAAATAAGCGATTGCTATATTCTCACTCCTTTTTTTCTATTTCTACAGACATCTTCATGCTCACTGTGCAAATCTTGTGATTTTCGAAACATAAATTCTTAGAGGCAAGGCGCGGGATCTGTTCATACTCTGCAGCCGAGTGCATGCTGGGTAGCAGTTGTATCGCTGGGATGACTGGGCGTGGGCCAAGCCTGAGCTCAGCTCTTTGGAGTGGGTTTGGAGGAGTAACGAAGACATCGGGGATGGGAGTGTTTTAGTCCCAGTTCTGCTGCGTGCGCCACCATGGCAGTGCATTTCAACCCTCAAGAACTCAAGGGCCCCATCTGTAAAATGGGAATAACCATTCCATCTCTATCTTCCACCGCTGGTTGGTGCGTGGCATGTACAGGCTGGGTTGTCTTTTATTTTTTATTGTTTTTAAGTTTATTTATTTTAAGAGGGAGAGAGAGAGGAGGAGGAAGAGGAGGGGGAGGAGGGGGAGGAGGA